TGAAGTTTGAAAAATGAGAATTCTGGCGCTAATGTGACCCGAAAGTGAATATTGAAGCAAAATAAACTGCTAAAAAGCATTAAATCAAGTTTCTTCTTGTGGCTGGTACACGCGACGAGTAGAGTACGTGGCTCAACAAGGGACTGATAGCGACAGACGAAAAAGGTTGGGGATCAGAGAAACCCAGACACCAGCGCAGCACCAATAACAAGGCGAATCTCCGGATGGGTCGAGGTTTGCTGGCGATATAAGCGCATATTACAAGCAGACTGTTGCTCAATGTTCCTTTAGATGAAGTTTAGTACTTGAAATATTAAATATAGCAAAGAAATCGGTTAATTTCCAGTAGTTCGCCCTATTTCAAGTCTGGAGCCCATTCATTCCCTCTGTCTTCTGAACTTATTTCCGAATGAACTGAAATTTGGTCTGCTCCTAAGTTATTGACCAGGTGACCTATGGCATCGTAACTGTGCGATGCTAATGTCACTGTCATTCCTACAGCTTTTTGAGCTTTATGTAGCCAAGCATTCATCTGAGACAGCGTTTTTCAACAGTCGCCTGGGCGAAATCTAGCTTGCAATTGTAAGTTGTACTTCTGCCTCAAGATTGTTTAGGTAGGAATTTTATTCTGGCCAACTTTTCGACCGTCCCGTCGTTTTCGAAGGAATAAAACTTCCACTTTAACAACCTCGAGACAGAAGTACAACAACAACATCAAGAATGCCGAAGTTTCAAGATGAGAGAACTTGGAATTTCTAGCTTGCAATATTTCCTAATCTCGCTGCCGTTAAGCGGTGTCCGGGTCAGGTTACAAAGGGCAGATTACCTCAGATCATCTCCATGCCATAATATTCGCCTTTATGTGATCTTATAGGAAGGCCTAATGATCCTAATCTTGTAGGCCTAATGAATACCCACTTTCTGATTAGTACACAATATGGTCCGCCGGCCTGATGGCCAGACTTCTTGTACGAAAGCTCTGAAGGGAAGGAACGATCACATTCGTGCCCCTCGAACGATAAAAGCCCACAAGAGCATTCAGACAGCGACAGGGACAATTGTAGACGTTACTGGCGTCCGCTCGAGGAACTTGATGAACAAGGGACAGTGCTAGAGGTGAGCAAAAGAAGGCAGAGTACACAAGGTTTCTGATGGAACTCTCTTAAGATTGTAAGGATTTTCGGACGTACCTTAACGCAGTACTGATGTGTTGCTAGATCGGGCAGCTACTAAACACTGACCACCGGTGGCGATACTAGAGGCGTTTACCTGATTGTTGGGCTTTTGTTTGTTTTGGCTCGTTGTTAGCCGGCCACTACTGCTAATTGTGGACGAAAGAACGAAATAAACGCTCACAGTGCCTGGGGATCACGTTACATTCCTACAAGTGCTCGCTCAACGAATACGATTTCTAAATAACATCCAATCAGAGAATGGCCAGCTGGCTTACGGTGCCCTTATTTTTGTGAGTTTGGGAAGATATAACTCCCAAAAGGAAGCAGTACTGATATTCTTCCACTCATGTCTCACTTTTATAAGTAGCAATATAATATCAGATAGAAGCGATGGCCATTTCTCGGAAATGAGAAATATCCGTTTTGGAGTAAGCTCAGAGAACTTCATCTGGGCTAAAGACCTCATCTTTACTTGCATGGTTTCCAAAATCGTAGTAGTATCAAATAGTAATCGTATCACATATCAGGCTCCTACCTGTGTGGGGACTATAATAGAGCAAATATGCCGAACTTGTACATTGATGGTTCCCTTCAGGGCCTTGTATAGGCGAGATCGCAATCAAATGGTACTACGACTCCGAAGTTAAGTAAACTACGTGGCGCATCGAAAATGCAAGCACTTTATTCTCGTATAATTTTATACGAATTGCTGAACAGAGCCGTTCAGACTCAGGCTCAGGTAGAAGTATGGAGAGAACTGACGGATTTCAAACCTACACCGGTCAGTTCCTTCCTCAAACTGAGCCCTTTCAATAGTGCCATATTCGATTAAGTAGCAACAAATCTCAAATTGATCATTGACACCTCTCTCTTATCCGATGGTGAGGGCACTTAGGTTGATGTCAGAGTCAGCGATCCGCAAAATCGCAAGCGCCCATGTGAACATTTGAAACACTGAATTTGAAACAAGTAGAATCATAAACAGTCGCCTTTCAACAATCACCATCAAGCAGAAATGGTAGTCTCTTCGCGCGATTCGCGCGACTCGCGAAGGATCGCGGACTCTGGCCTTATACTCTGTGTGGTTTCGCCAATGCCTGCCTCTGCCAACTTGAATAGAAGTCGAATGCATGGCACAACCCAACTTAAACAGCATCGACCACATCACACTTTTATTAGAACAAATCACAACATCGTGAGCTGAAATTCTATTTACAAAATAAATTTACAAATTTGGTTCAGGTATAATGAACAAAATAGCTAAGCTGTCTCAGAAACAGAATTCACAAATGGCTTCTCGAAGAAAAGGCAAAATTCAGACGGCTAGCATCACTAGCACTGCCCACAGGTGCACTTGTAAGATTCGCTTTCAATTTGCTGAAAATGGAGAACTTAAAATAAAAAATCAAGTCGATTGCCATTTTGTAAAACATTAAAACCACAAAATATCCGCATTGGCGAATTCGATGGGATGCGCCACGCATTTTACTCCCTTTCAAATCTCAGAAGCACTTGAACGTTGTTAGTATATGTTCAAGAAATAAACAGCAATTGACAGCACGCAAAAGTAGTCAAATGCAAATCATGTAAGAAACAAAAAGCTCCGAGCGTCATTTCGCCAAAATTCAAGTTTCAAGCTTGGCTGGGTCGGTTGTAGTCCCCCACTCCTTTCCCAATTCCCCTTCGAAATCAAAAAATGAAAAATTTTCGAAAAAATCAGATTGGTGAGATTGCTGGGCATCTACGGCGTTTCAAAACTGTTCCCGCTCTCGCATAACCCATTTCGCTCACCCTATACCTTAGGTCATCATAGAAAATCCCTATCGTAATGCTGACTGAATGGTTGACCGAGGAGAAAAAGAGGGCTTACAGGCACTGGTTGACCTTTTCATACTTACTTTACATTGGCTTATTTCTCATAGGGGATATCTCACAGTTTCTGAGAAAAGTTAGGTGCATGGCGCACTTCTGCCCATTCACACACTACCGCAAGAGTGCAAAAACCAACACTGCAGGTTTACCTGTTCAGGTTTCAAATCGAACGCTTTTGCTACTCGTTGCAGATCATGTTGGATGTCGTTAAAAGATTTCAGTTCAGCTTTCAAATCAGATGTTTTCTTCTCCAATAGGGAAATGTTCACCTAAAAATAGTACTTTCATCATAACCTTCCCTGAAAGCACAAAAATCGATTTATCGATTGTCAGCGGTAACAGTTTACCTCTTTTTGACGACACATTTCCCTTAGAGCTGTGTTTTCTTGTCCAACGTTACGTAGACATTCTTTCAAGGCGATGTTTTGATTCCACAACTCGCAGTTTTCACGCTGAACTATGGGCTATTACAAAATCAAGCAGAACCTTTACCAGTAATAATTACCAACTTGAGCAGCTTTTGACATTACCACATAAGCAGGATTTCTTGGTAGAGTTTGGCATACGCTGGAAAATTTGAACACCCTAACGATTTCCACCCGTTTTTCGGCTGTTGCTGGGATACCGTGAAAACGGGGTCACGGCGCGACGTCGCCCATACTTGCTGCAGGCATCGCCGCGTGTGAAGCTCTGTGCAATCAGTGGGTGGCTATCACTCAATGGGAGACCCGGCAGAGACACAGACATGGACAAATAGTTTCCATTTCGATAAGGGTTAGAGGAGGTGTTCCAAATTAGTTACAGTGCACGTGATCTGACCTAACGGTACACACGTCGGGAAACCTAGACAGGTAGCCGAAATGCACTCCTTATCGAAAACGCTCGAAAGAAACGAGCCAAATAAAACCGTGCACTGCCCCACGACAACCAAAAAAGCTCTTCTGACAGGTTGCTTGGATACACCGAATCTTCCATGGAGGCCAGAGCTTTTATGGGGCGTAACTCAGAAATACCATCTTGCTTTGGAGCAATCTTCTGCTCCGCTCTAGTCGTTTTTTGCGTGAAGGTACGGTGCTAGAAGGCGGTGCGGTTACGACGACATTAAACTTCATGGTGGACTAGTCACCTCATCGCGCTAGGAGTGTGGTTTGAACCGCCTCTCAACTCTGTTCCACCGACTTGCTCAGTAACGTCATCAAAACCGCAATGCCCTCCAGTCACTCTAACCACATTCGTTGAGCCCAGGTAATCAGTAGTGACCATGACCCATCATCGAAATGTCCGATTTTTCGCACCTAGTCATTCACCTTGATTCAGGACCGTTGCAGGC